GGGTCTCACATAGGGCTTCCTTGGTACCTTGGTACGTTGGTGATGGGGGAATCTGCCCCTAGTCCTGCCCTCATCGGCTTTGGGCTTCCTCCATGGGTGCCACTTCTAGCCCCGAGTGTGGGTTCACACATGTGGCAGAGACTGTACAACACATTTCACCCTTGCTTTGCTTAACAACACAAACAATACCTCATCACACACCTGACTCCTCACCTTCCTGGGTACCTTGAAGGTTTGTTTACCTCTGCTCATAAAGAGCCTCTGCCTTCTTTTTAATGGTTGTCCAGCACTCCGCTATTTATAAACTGCCTTAAAAGGACATTATTCTTTAAGTATGTGTTTCTGATTTTAATGAGGACTGAACTCTTTTGCATGATGGCTTGGGAAGGAGCTGAATAGCTCAAAAGCAGCTGCTAGGGAGCTTGGGAAAATTGCCTTGAAATGTAGCTTTAAAAATTTTTTTTTATCAAAATGCGATTTAATGCAGAAAAATGCATGTTATCATATGCATGTGATTGGCTGAATCTTTATAAACTGAGCACTGTGTGAAAGCAGCTGCAGAGGAATACGGTCAGCACCCAAAGCTGGGTGTTTGGGAGGAGCCTTGGCCTACCACAAGTCTGAGGATACTGAAGCCTCCTCTCAGCCTGCTTGTTTGGTCCCTGGGCATCTGGGTCCCTTGTATACACTGACTGGGCCTGAGGTCTCCCACTGGAGGGACTCTGCCTGGATTCCCTGGGCCAGGGTGGAGGTCAGCTGAGAGCAGCAGACTGGACCTGGTGTGTCCTGAGAGTTGCTCTGACCCTCATTAACCACGTAACTGCAAGAATGTTCTGCAACCTCCCTGCCTCTCTGTCCTCCTTTGCTCACCATTGCTGACGGGGACTGAGTAGCCATGAATGGTGGGTTCCAGGAGATGTCTTCTGGGAGAGGGGTTGTCCTTGGTGACCTTTCCCAAGCCCATGGCAGGCACAGAAACCAGACGTAGCCCTTGGAAGCTCTGCATGACTTGTAACCCAGAGTCCCCAGCCTTAGGGTCTCACACAGGGCTTCCCATCCTGCAGGGCTGTGTGTGGAGCCTGGGAGGGCAGCCTCTACAATTTGAAGCATGGCCAGGTTGGTCCAGGTTGGCCTCAGGTTCCTAGGGCACGTCATGGGACAGTGCCACTGTCCCCCTGCTGAAGTTGCAACCTGTCCGTCTCAGAGGCTCAGCCTGCACCACCACACCCTCTCCATGCCAGCTGCAGGCAGGAGTGGACCTGAGCCACAGAAACTGCAGCTGGCATGGAGAGGGAAGGAGGGGCAGGCTGAGCAGTTGCTTAGTGCTGGGCACAGGGGCCTCCTGGTATAGGGAACTTGGGTGTGGGAGGTTGGGGGGTGGACCCTAAGACTGAGCTGCTCTGTTCCCTGTGGGTGGTGCAGATGGCTGAGGTCAGGCTCAGGGCTGGTGTGGGGCCCACTCTGGTGCCAACACTTGGCAGGCAGGAGGGATGTTCCCTGCCACAGCCTCTGGCCAGCTCTTCTCAAGTTAGTTTCTCCCTTTGGGAGGACCAGAAGAGGACGCTGGCCTTTTGGGAGGCCACAAACACAGCAATAACACTGAGTGGACGACAACCTGTTGCCTCCACATTAGTGGGATGGTAAGGGTCAGGTCAGGACCAGGCCTCTGGCTTGCAGGACTGGACAGAGGGTGAGTGTGGTGCAAAGTTGCAAGTGCCGGGGTGGGGGACAACAAAGCCCACTGAGGTGCAGCCCAGGTCTCAGCAGCAGGAGCTCACAGGATATGTAGGGCCGGATGCTGCGTGTTGGGTTTTTTACTAACATCTGGGGGAACCCGGTGCTCAAGGACACACACTCACACACACACACACACACACACACACACACACACACACACGCGCGCGCGCGCGCGCGCCTAGTAAGTGTCCCCAGAAGGAAGGGCTTTGTCCCCTCACAACACTATGCACCTACTGCTGAATGATGGAGTGTGTGTTAACCCAGTGTGACTGGACAGGGGCGCTGAGCACCCAGCACAAATCTCCCTGTTGCAGAGTGGGCTCTGAGATGAAGGCAAGGCCAAGGGTGCTGGGGACTGTCGCTATGAGAACATGGGCACAGAGGCGAGCCCCACTAGGCCACCAGCTGCTTTAGTGTCACTTGCAGCCTTGGCCTTCTGCAGAAGCAGCTGTGTGCCTTTTGGGAGAAGCAGGTGGGTTCCAGATCCATGTTCCCCTGGGGCCTCCTATAAACCCTCTAGGTGCTGCTGGGAGATTGAGGCTCCCTTCTGGCCTGAGCTCCACTGGTGCTGCTGACTGGATGGTGGGGCTGCCTTTGGGAAGGAGGAGGCTGGAGCTTCTGTCCTGTGCCTGGTCACGGTATCCCGCACATGCACACATGCATAGAGGGCTCTTGGTCTGCAGAGCACCCTCCCGGCCTCCCTTCTGGGTCCCACCTCTGTCGGTGCTGTCTGTGAAGCATTTATTATCACAAATGTGCATCCATGTCAGGCTGCAAGAGCCCAGAGCCTCTCCTCCCCCTCCGCCCACCAGACCCCACGGAGGAAAATCCATTTACAGCTCTCACGTTACTTCAGTGCACCCCTGATATGAAAGAGTTCATATTTAGAAATTTTCATCCCTGGTACTGATAAAAAGGAAAAAGACAAAAAAAAAAAAAAAAAAAGAAGAAGAAATTTTCCTTCACCTAAATATTATCTCATCTATAAATCCACTAAATGTTAACATAAAATGCAATCATATTTTAAAAATTTCTATTGTTATATTAGTTCCAGTTAGACAAATCAAATTCTCAATTTTGTTTATCAATGTGATTAGGTCAGTTCCCTTACACTTGTAAAACTGCATTTCTAGAAGAAATTCATGAGTTTTTTCTTTAAGAATCTCATAGGTCTAGTAGGGCAAATACAGAAACCTAATGAAGGAATATTTTCCAGAACTCTTGAAAATCAAAGAGATAAATGATGAACTTACATTCACAGGATTGCTGCATTCTAATTTCTCTGAGACCGTCTCCTGACTTGGTGTCAGAAGCACATGGGTCACTCCAGTCCTCTGGGTCAAAGTGTGAGTAGTGGGTTTGGCCCTTTCCCCCTGGGCACCCAGTACAGGGTGAGAATTCTCCTGGCCCAAAGAGGGCAGTTATGTCCCCTTACTATGACCTGGTACCTCAAATGCCCAAGGCAGGCTTGCACTGCTGAAGGATGCTTGGTCTTTTACATGGTTGTCCTGGCAACTGGGGTCTCCAGATACACAAGTAGAGGGAAATGTTGGCTCATACCTGTCCTGTCCTTCTGGGTGGTCTGGGTTGATGGTGGTCTGGGCCCTGTGAGGAGACAGCTGATATCCTTTTGTGACATCTTTGCAGCTACCTGGACTGGACTCCATGCTACGAGGAGAACTCTTCATAGCTCTGCATATCCCAGCTTCCTTCCCCTATAATCTCTCCATCCCTGTCCCAAAGGTGTGGATCTCAGGACTCATGGTTGTCCCCCAGTGGATAACCAGATGTTCTTGGGAACCCATACTGTCCAGGAGCTGCAGAGGCAAAGGACTCTCTGTTCCCACAGCGGCCCAGTGAGGGACAACAGGGATCAGCCAGTTTGGTGTGTGTGGCTTGGAGAGGGAGGGACAGATTGGTACGTGCTTGAGAAGAGGATCTGCAGAGAGGGGACCTAAGAAGGACTTTCCTTTGCTTGGGCCTGCTGCATGTTGGCATATAAATCTCTACCTGCATGTGAACCAGAGCCCTCGGGCTGGTGGGGCAGATGGAGAGGAGACCCACAGAAATAGGTATGTATTTCTGGTCATCTGAGGGCAACATTTAAGGCCCAGGAAAGGCTGAGCTGACCTGAGCCAGTGTGGGGTAGGGTGGTGTTATGGTTTAAATCTAATATGTCCCCCAAGGTCTCATGTATTCAGAAGCAGGACTTTGGGCAGTGATTGGGTCATGGGGATGCTACTCATACTGGTGGACTCATCCATCGACGAGTTCAGAGCTGAATGTGCTGTTAGGAAATGGAGCCAGTTGAAGGTGATCACTGGCTGTGGCCTGGTAGGTTGTGCTCTTCTCCTTATCCCCAGCTGCTTCCTTCTCTCTCTACTTCCTGGCCACCGTGAACTAAGCAACTTTGCTCTACTGTGCCCTTCTGCCATATTGTTCCTACCTTGGGGCCAACAACCATGGACTGAATCTTTGGGAGCCATGAGCCAAATTAACCCCGTCCTCCTCTAAGTTATGGACGTTGGGTACTATATCCTGGGCTTGGGAAAGCTGACTGCTGCAATAGGCAGAGGCAAAGGCAAAGCCTGGCAGCCACAGTCAGGAGTAGGAGCCAGCAGAGCAAGTCCTGGCAGAGCTGGCCTGGGTGGTAGGGGTGAAGGAGGAGTGAGAGAGGGAAGTACTTTACATGGAATGGGACTGAGGACCCACAGGAGTCAGATACAGGAGAGGGATGACATTCCAGAGTTTCCCTCAACCTGAAGACCTCAGGGAGATGTAGGACTCTTTCTCCTCCACCTTAGCGATTCCCAGCCTTTGCCAGTCTTGCAGCAGTGAGCCTGACACATATCAGCCCCAGTGTTGCCTGAACCTTGTCTCATTTCCTCTACTTGGGTTTTTTTCTTTGTAATCTGAGCCCTGCTTTTTGGCAAAAAAAAAAAAAAAAAAAAAAAAAGAGGAAGCCTGACATTTATTTAGCTCTTTCATAACATTTAAGGGAACTGAAATGAATTCTGTGTCCTATAATTAGGACTCTGGGCAGTTTTAGGAAGAAATAACCACATTTTCCCAAACCCCTTACAAAACTTCCTGGGAAAATGTGACTGTGTTCTTTGGAAGGCAGCACACTCCTTGCGGGCCTCAGCCTGCAGTGTGGGGAGCACCCCATGTTGCCTCCCCCAGCTGTGTTGCAAAGGTTGGATCCTCCGAGATGTTCTGGATGCATGGTGAGCCAACAGCGGACAGGGTTGCACCTCTGAGACAGATGGACTGGGTTTCAGGGAGGAAGCGGGCAGGGGCGGCTTTGCAGAGTCCACTTTGTGGGGCTCCATAGTAAGTGCCGACCTCATCTGGCCCGTTTCATGAGGCAAAAGGTTGTGATGCCAGCCCTAGCTATGGGGAACTGGTGGTGACTGGAAAATGAATATTTAGCAGGTAGTTTGCAGCCTGGAGCAAGGTCAGCTTTGACTGAGATAGGACAGAGGGGGCCAGGGACCAGCTCAGGTAATGCCAGATCTGCCTGATGCAGCCTATTCTCAGCTCTTGTTGCCTTCTCCCACCCTAGAAGGACAGGGAGTGCTCAGCAGAGGGGCAGGTGCAGGCAGACTCCTAGGTGTGGAGCCCAGCCCTCCTCGGGCAGTAGGTTGACTCCAGCCTTTTCACTGCCACACTACACAGTGGTCCCTGGGCTGCCACCACTCTGTGGCCACCGTGAGGACAGTCTCTTCCCTCCTGTTCCCAGGGAGGTGATAGCCTTGTGGGTTGCAGGCAGTCCTTGGGTTGCAGGAAGAGACCAAGGGAAGCCAGACATCTGGGTTTTGACCTGGCCCTGGAGGGAGCTGGGGTGACCCACATCCTCCCTGGAATTCAAATCATCATGGAAAGTGTGGCTGGGACTCAAGGCATCCATGTGTGGAAGTGTGAGTGCATGATGGAGTGTGTGTGCTCACAAGCATGTGGTAGAGCTTGTGCATTGTGTGTGCATCATGAGTGTGAGTATATGCACATGATCATATATGCATGTACATACACAATTGTGAGTGAGACAGAGGATGCCCCTGTGTTCATGTGTACTCACAGGTATATGTGCTAGTTTGTACATGCAAGTACACATAATGAGTGTGAGATAGAGTTGCATGCAAGCGTGTGAGTATGGTGACAGCCTGTGTGCACGAGCACATGATGGCATGTGTAGGTACATGTGCACACATGGGTGAGACAGCATTGCATTGGTGTGTGTGCGTATGAATGTGTGTATCTATACAGCATGGGACCCTGAAGCCTGGGAAAGTGAGTGTGACACACGCTGGCTTGTGAATAGTGGACGTTAGCTGAGACGACTTCTCCTGGCAGGTTCAGGGTCAGGGACTGGTGGCTGGGGACTCTGTGCCTGGGTGCTGGAAGTTGGGGGCTGAGAGCTCTGTGTATGGGGCTGGTTCTCCTGCAGGCTCCAACCCTCCTCAGCCACTCAGTCCACATCCTTCACCTTCACTTGGCATCAGGCTTGGCCACGTGGATCTTGTGGTGGAGGCTGACCAGTCTCAGGAGCAACCTGATGCCCTCCTGGGAGCACTGGGTCCACCTCATGCCTTGCTCCCTCTCCTCTGGACTCATTCAAATCAGCCTTCAGGTGGCCAGTGAATGTTAGCCTGCCAAATTCCGAGAGCCAGCCCCCGCCATCTCCTCTAGCCTCTGACGGTATCCCCCAACCAGTAACTTGGTGGTGTTCAGCAGGGCTTTCTGCACGTGTCTATGGGGGATCCTGGTGCCTCAGAGCTCAGAGGAGGACAGTTTCCCCACCACAGGCCAATGACCTGGATGGCTGTGGGCACCTCAGAGGCCCCACCCCATATGGTGTGGATGGGCAGCTTCCTGGCACCCTCTGCAAGCTGAGCAACAAGTGGGCCTCACACTTGCCCTCCAGGGACTTCAAGGGAAGCCACATGTGCACACCTAGACACATGCCTACACGCACACATGTGTGCACACACACATTCACCCAACACATAGACACAAACACATGACATACAGGACAGGCAATATGTATACTCACATGTGCAAACACATGTACCCACATGAACACAGAAGCATGCCTGAGCATTTGACACATAACCACATCAATCTGTGTATACATGAACATACACAAATTTACCCACTCATATCCACACATGGACATACCAGCAGTGCCCACATGCATATACCCAGAGGCACATGGACACATGTATCCACAGGGATACTTAAGATACATCCCTTCCCAGCCTCAGGGGGATGGGCTGCCCTATCCTGACCGAGCCCCGCCTCCCTTCCTGCTCACCTTGGCAACTAGGCAGGTCTGCCTGATACAAGATGCTCTCTGCTTGTTAGACTCATGAGGACTCCTCCATTCTACATGATGTCACTGTTTTGGGTTCATCTGTTGATGTCTGCCCATGATAACTGGGGTCGACGGCCACACAGAGCATGGAGGGATGTGAGAGTCACAGACGTGTGGTCTTGGGCATGGGGCACTCCCAAGGCCAGCACCCATGCTCCAGGGTGTTTGCTTTGCCCGCTGACTTGGCTGTGATCTTAGACAACTGCTCGGTCTTCCTGCCTCTCTTTCTTACTGGAAAAGAGAAAATCATTCTTTGCTTTTTCACTCAACAGATACATAGGAAGCTTGGATGTGGCATGGGATGCCAAGTGAGCCTTGATTTTGGGGGCCTCTGTGCTCTTGCAGGAGGTAAGCTGCAAGTGGCACCTGTCCCCGGAAAGAGTTCAGCAGGGCCAAGCGTTTCAGGGTGAGGGAGGTGAGGGAGGACCACTCAGCTTGCTGGCTGATGCTGCAGCCTCTGAGCTGGAGGAAGGAGAGGCCTTGCCTTGTGTCAATGCTTGGAGAAGGGCACCCAGGAACATGGTAAGTGCAAAGGCCCTGAGGTAGAACTTCAGACAGCAAAGAGGCCTGTGTGGCTGTGAGACCAGAAGCCCACAGGTTGTTTGTGATTCTGTGACCACAGTGGGGGCCTTGAAAGGTAGCCTGGGGCCTTGAACCCCCAGGGTCCAAGCTAGATGCCACACTGTTCAGGAGTCAGGGGGAGCAGTGGCCATGGGGGCACTGGAGTGGCTGGATTTGATGGTATGGGACAGCACATGGGTGGGGGGTCAGGAAGGCGGGGCCTCAGGGAGAGGCCTGGTCAGAGCCGGGTGAGGGAACCATCAGTGTGTAAGTGGTGTTTAACGTCACGGCGGTAGCAAGATGGGCCAAGGATAATAACAGCCCTTCCTGAGGTTGTGAGAGTCAGACAGGCTGATCCAGGGCTGCTTGGCACATAATAAGCACTGGGGCTGTGAGCTCAAACAAACAAACACAGCCATCTGGCAGTCTCCAGGGGAACCTCACTCCCCGCTGGGGAGGAAGCCGGCAGCATGGAGTGAGGAGACTCCCGGCCCAGGCCAGCTTGGAGGCCCCAGAGGTAAGCTCGGGGTGCTGTGGGCGCCCCTGCCTCGTGGGTGGCCAGGCTGGGCCCAAGCTGTGTGGGATGAGGGAAAGCTGCCCAGCCCAGCCCAGCCCAGCCCAGCCCGGCCCTGGCCCGCAGGTGTGTGTGACAAGCACCCAGGCACAGGGCCCTGGCTCGGGCGGGGCAGGGACAGCAGGGCTCAGCTGAGGCAGATGCCCCTGTGTGGTGGCACAGCAGAGACACAGTGGTATGGGGCTGCAGAGGACAGAGAGGGCAGTGTGAGGGCATCACTGGGAGGGCAGCACCCACCCCAGCGGGTCCCTTTGGCCCACACGAGCCTGCTCCAGATCCCGTAGTCGGTGCTCCCCAGTGGCAACGCTCATCTCACGGCAGGCTTGTCGGGAGATGTCTATCAGCTGTGCAGCAGGTGGTCACAGTGATCCAGGAAGTCACCTGGGAGGTCTCAGCGGACAGCCTGGAGGACAGGAGACTTGAACAGGCCCAATTGGTGACAGGGGATGGATTTGGAACAAGGGCAGAACAAGTGGCAGCAGTGAATGTTGGGCTGGGTGTGGACACCTGCTCCGGTCCCAGGGTCATGTCACACAGCAGATTGGTCTGCAGGGCTACACCCAGGTACAGGGGCATCGGCTACACCTTCGGGAGCTAGGTGTAAGCAGCACAAGTGCACGTGTGTGTGATTGTGTGCCTGTGTGTGCATGCATCTCCATCCCATCTCTATCAACAATGACCATGCTCGCCTATCTTTATGCCCCCAGGCACAGGGGTCTGGAGCAGATGACCAGGGCCAGCATTTGACCCCTTGGCAGGCACGTCTGTCTCCCTTTTCACATGCACTGAGCTCAAACCCTTTCTGACTCTGCCCTCAGTGTCCTGATCTGCATATTGGGCTCCTCCAATAAAGCAAAAGTGCTGGCCCAGATGGACACAGAGTCTGTGTGCATATCTGGTGTGGACACAGAGACACCCAGGGCAGGCTGTGGGCAGCCTTTTTGCAGGGACATTGAGCAGTGTTAGCAAGCACATGCCTGGACTTCTGCTCTTTTCATACAGATGGCCCAAGTGACCCAGGTCTAGTGTCAGGGAGAATGCCTTTCCCGGGTGTCCTGCTTCATGGCTAATGTAGGAGGGATGGCAGTCCAGCCACACATGAAGTGAACAGTCTTTCCTAGCTATCAGATGGGTGTTTATGAAGCCCTTCTTGGCCTGCTCCCTTCCCTGAGTGCAGTCCATGACTGTTGTCCTCCAGGGACCCTGGGCAGGCTACCAACAAGCCAGACCTGCATGCAGAGCTCATTGATGAAGGCCAGGCCTGAAGGACAATGCTCCAAAGATGCCTGCAACCTGGGCCTCAGGACTGGAGAGTGTGGAAGTTCATGGAGCAGGTGTTCACCGAGTTCAGGGATACAAGACAGAAGACTTGTCCAGCTTTTCCTAGAGATCCCAGGCCATCTCGAGTTTCCCATCAGTGTCAAGCAGAGCCTGGGAGGTGTTTACTATGGGCTGCAAGGATGGAGGATGGACAGCTCTTCAAGCAGCAGTGTGGTGGCCTCATCATCTCAGGAAGCCCAGGACCTTGGCAGGGTTGGGGGAGGCAGGAGTGGCCAGGCTTTGCCAGGCCCAGGAGACTTGGTTCCTGTAGTGTGGCCTAGGGCCAGTGAGGGTGCAGGGTGAGACCTGCTGTCCCTGGCCACATGAGCTCCAAATGCTAAATGGCATTGTTCTCAGCCTCAGGAGACCAAGGCAAGCCATCCACGTCTGACCCAGAGAATAGTAGAGGGGAGGGATGGTGCCCTCTGAAGGACCCCAGGGCAGTTAACACTGATTCTGAGGTTTAGCAACAGATTGATCCTTGAATAAAGAATGAACTAAGTCATCCATTTGCACACTAATATGAATTTTAAAATCATGCCGGGTGAGAGTTAAAGAAACCAACACGGGCAGCCCAGACCTCTGTCCGACAGTATCTGTGTGTCCAGGGACCATGAGGCTCCATAGTGTGTCCTCCACATCCCGGCCCTGAAGCTCTGGCCAGCTCCACCTTCTCACCTGCTAAGTGGCTATGCATTGGTTCTTGGCAGTGTCTTTTTGAGAATTAAACATTCATAAAAGTAAAATTCACAAACATCACATGGTACCCAAAAAAGGGATTTCTAAAGGAGAGGGGTTCCTCATCCTTTATTTCAGGTTTTACCTCCCAGGTTGTGATAAAATGTCCTCCCACCACCCAGAACCTGACCCTCGACCTGGCAGGGCCCCTCCGTGTCTGTACCTTCCCGGTGACCCTGGCGTAGTGCCTGGCACTGGGACTGGCGTGACAGGGACAAAGCGCCCCAGTACCTCACACTCTGCCTCCCAATGGTACCACTTCTGCCCAGGGGGCAGATCAGGGAACATTTCTGCCCGCATGGGCCACCTGCAGTCTCCAGCCGGACGTTTCTAGGGCTTTGCATGCCGGGACGTTTCTAGGGCTTCGCATGCCGGGACGTTTCTAGGGCTTTGCATGCCGGGATGGTGGCTCCGGGACTCAGGAGCAGATCTGCATCACACCTCTCATTTCTCCCCAAACCTGGTTTCTTAAAAAGGTCTTAACCTTTCCTGCTCACCAGCATTTTAACACATTTCTGAAAAATAGCTGAACCGTTTAAAAACAGCCCGCACTTTCACATAGGGTTTCTCTCTGAGTCACACTTCATCTCTTCCCTTGAATGGCAGAGGGGAAGGTGACAGCTGGGGCGGCGACAGCACACGTCACACTGCACGTGGCCACAAAGAGAGAAGAGAGATGCCTGCCTCAGGCTGCTCCGAATGGAGGCATCAGGAGGGCAGGACCTCGAGGGCTCAGCATTGACCAGCCCGGGAGCCAGGGAGATGCCAGACGGTGACCCAGGAGCTCCTGGAGTGGAGCCTGGTGCTGGCAAGACTGCTGCTGGGCACAGTTACTCAGAGCCACAGGAGTGGTCTGACGGTTATGCAGAGCAGACATTATGTTTTTAAAAATATTTTGCTTTGAAATTTAAAAAATGACTCTTATTCTCATAGCTACTCATAGCTAGGTCATTAGCATGACCTAGTGGCCACAAGTTCAGCCTGGATAGCAGTACCCTGATCCCTTCTGCTGCAGTCACTGACTGGAAAAACCAGGGAACCCATGTCCTATCTGAGCCCTACTCAACACCCCCCAGGCTCTTAGCTTGCTTTCCTGAGCCGGGATTCTGGGAACCTGGGGCCACTTTGCAGGGGGCTCTGGGAGGAAGAGGAAGAGACTTGGATCAGACCCCAGGCAGGCCAGAGCAGGGCCCCTGCTTCTGCACTGAGCCCGTATCCCAGGCCCAGGCTGAGACAGTGCAGAGGCAGAGCTGGTGCAGGGTTACTCAGCCCCATGCGTCCCCTTGCTTTCATGGGGCCTGCAGGTGGCACTCAGATCTTGGTCTGTCTCCCTCTGGGATCACACACAAAAACCTTTCTCACCAGCCACTGTGGCCACTGGAGAGCTGGGGATGCTGGTGGGTCCGGGCCCATGGTGATTTCGATCCCAAGCTCGCATTTCCAGAGAAGACGTGGATGAGCTCACAGAAGAAGGCCAGCGGCTTCAGTAGATGTCCACTGTACGCAAGCTCTTACTATCATCACTGAAAATGTCTGCTTTGCTCTTATTATTTATGTATTTCAAGACTTGTTTAAAGGAACCCTAAAATGGTAGACACTGATTGACTAAGGCCATCAGAGCCAGCTGGCGCTACTACAGAGGAGCCAGGGATGGGCCAGCCTCCAGCTTCCGTGGGTCGATAGTGGCCCCCACCCAGATAGGAGCCACCTGCAGCATCCAGTCAGTGACTGGCTATTCTCAGAGAGGATGTCCTGCAGCAGCTGGGTGGCAGCTCTCGTCCCTTAGGACTTGATTCTGTTTCTCCACACAAAGCCACTCCCAGTGGATGCCAGCTCTCCCTTAGGAAGGGATGTTTTAGTTGACAGGGACAGGGGGAGATCATGGCCAGGAGGGTCGTGGTGCTAGCGGCAGGCTTCCTGAAGGTGGTATCACTCACTGTGTTTTCCTTTGCTGTGACTGAAACATGGAAAGGAACTGGCGTTTCTAGTTTTAAATTTTTATATTAAAGCCAAAGGCATCAAGTTTCTCCCTGCTTGCACTCAGACGACGAGGGCCCGGGGACAGGACTGTCTGAGAGCATCCATTTACAATCAGCTTTGCCTTGGGTAGGGCATGACAGGGACTCTGAGCAGGGACACAAGGGAGACACCGTGAACTCTGTGTTCAAATCATATTTCTCAAGTTTAGTTACACAGGGAAGATCATTATGCCCGGATTTTGGGGAAAACCAGGGGCAAACTTGATATGATTAACTAAAATCAATGAGAGGTCAACTTTGGGTTTCAGACCCTTTTTCTCCCAAACGTGATACACTTTAGTGTTGTGCAGTGGTGTCTGGGGTGGGGACACATGATGACAAAACAGTGACTGTGGACCTCTGGGAAGTGAGGTGCAATCAGAAAACCACTCCTGTGCCCCAGGCGAGGAAAGAAAGCCCAAAGCTTAGGCAGATCTGTGCATTGATTTCCTGAGGACCTGGGTCTTAGCAGGACCTGAAGCTCCTGCCTTCCTGTGCTGGCCTCAGTGGCAGAGTGTGCCCGTGAGCCGCCCATTTCCGGTGTGCTGTGTGGGTTGGCCAGGCTGCCCTGCGCTTCCAGGGGCTGTGCTCAGCCTGAATGTGCCCACTCCTCAGCACCCCCAGAGGCGGTTGCCCCACTTCTGATTCTGAGGCTGCGCAGGCCCACGGTGGGGTGTCTGAGGAACAAACCCACCACAGCTGACGGCGTGCGGAGGATGAACCATTGTGTGAGTGATTGGGTTTCACATTGTTTTGCCAACTCCCAGGCAAACGGGCAGATCCATTTGGAACGTGTTTTTCTTTGTTGTTGTTTAATAAAGCAGCAATCATATACCATGTGAGATAATGGATGGCTGGATGCAGACTTGAATTATTTTATTTTATGGAGTCTTAATTAGATTTGTAATGCAGAGCGCCTCAGTACCAAATGTTTGCTTAGATTTAATGAGACCTGTTACGGGAGTGAGAGAATTGTAATTGTCCCATTAACACAACAATGATACATATTGCAAAGTTTGGCATATATCAAGTTATAAAGGATGCGCTTGACACTGCGGGGGTTCGCTCCTTCTCTGTCTCTCCCTTGTCTGCTCTCTTATCTAGGTTTTCTTCATCTGAGCCCCAAGAAGAATCATTTCCCTTTCCTAGTTTCTTATAAAAGTTTAGGGTTTTATTGTCCAGGCTAAGCAGAGACCTGGAGGCAGGTGGGCTGTGCCAGGTATGCAGAAGTTCGATGGTCATCTGCCCCCTTCCCAATGCACCTTCCCTGAGAGCTGCTCATCCCCAGAACAGACACAGTCAAACCCAGTTTTGAGGAGAGATTTACATTTTATCTCCAAGAACGCAGGTCTGCAGGACCCAGTGATCAGCTTCCCGGTGGGGAGTGGGTGCGTATACACAACACATCTTCATTTTTTCTTTCCCCTTCCTGCCTGCTGGCACTTGTCCCCTTCCTGCCTACTGGCTCTTACCTCCTTCCGTTTGCAAAAGTTCTGTCTCCCTGTTTCCTCTCACTACCTTTGTACTTTGGGCATCTTGAGTAAGAGGCGTGATGTGACCCACAAGCCTGAATATCGAGGTGGGTCTTGTACCAGTTGTGGGCGTGACTTGCCCCACAGGGAGTGAGTCGTGGGTCCCCACACAGCATCCTCCATGGCCAGGGCGGGCTCTGACAGGAAAAGGATCGGCCTGTTGGTTCAGCAGTACAGATGAGGCAGCCTGCAGGGATGACAGGAAAGGCATGGCAGTGGCACCTCGCCCTGTGGGGAACCTGCCCTTCTGGTTCGAGGCCTGCATTGGCTCTCTCATGCCTCCCAGGAGCCGGGCCACCCGGTGATGATACCTTGTCTCTGCCATGGCGCTCTCTGCACACCAAGGCCACCTGGCCTGTAACCTACTCTCCTCCTCCGTCGAGTGTTGGAGGCTGGAGGTCAGGAGTCAGGAGTCTCAGTGCCTGGCGAGCCCTGTCTCATAGAGGCACCTGCAGTGAACTGGAGGGACAGTTGGGCCTCTCCAAAGACACCAGTCTCACTGTGAAGCTGCCTCATGTCTGGTCACTCCTGAAGCCCCTCCTCCTGACATTGTCACTGTGGGGGGTATTTTATTTTGGAGGGAGGGTGCAAATCTTCAGAACACAGCATCATCCCTTCATGTCACCTGCTTTAGTGTAAGCCTAGCCTTGGGTCCTATAGCACACAGGCACCTGTGGAGGCCCTCTGGTTCTGCTCCACCTCAGTTCCTCGGTCTCTGGATCTCATCTTTCTGTGCTTGATGGCCCTGGCCTAGCAGGGGTTTCCAAAGGGAAGCCTGAGATGAGAACCACTATGATGGCTTATCTGGTAGGAGAGTCAGGACTGGTGGAACAGTGGGAGGCGGGGAGAAGGGGTGGCAGCCTCTGGGGGACCTTATGAGACAGAAGGCCTAGGTCTTAGCCCTGTAGGGTGTTCTGGGATTGGAAGGGTACCAGCCCGGTGGTGAGGAGTTGGTGACTTGGTGCTGCCTGGGGCAGGTCTGGCCACCCACTATGAAGGACCTGGGCCCTGGCATCCCAAGGTCAGCACTGCTATGAGATTCGAGTGCTCCCCACAGAGGCCAGGCGTGCAGGAAACAACAACCCTGTGCCTCTCTTGGAATCACAGGGCCAAACACAGGTACTCCAGTTAATCCCAGTCAGACACAAGCAATCTGCTGAAGTGAGCATGCACCGTGCACACCTTCCCTGAAATTATTTTACAGATGTCCTGCACTGTCTCCCCCAGCAGCCTGTTGGGCAGATTCCTTCCTCTGACCCCGGCAGGTCTCCTTCTCTTCACCCCAGACCCTCCCCTGCCCTTTGTGGGTACACACAGGCCCAGGCCAGTCCAGCTTCTGCCCAAGCTCACAACCCCATGTGGTGGTGCCATCCTGTCTTTCAGTCTGCAGATTGCAGTGCCAATGGGGAAACTGAGGACTCACTCATCATGGGGATGCACTCAGGCTGGGCCCCCAGCCTCTCTCCTTGCTGCCAGGCACTGGTATGGAGGAAACACCTGCGCCTTGGGTTCCTGGGAGACTGAAGTGAGTCAGTGTGAGACAAGCTGTGCTGTGTGTGGAATGGTGCAAGGCTGCACTCTGAGCTGCTTGTCCTCTATGGCTACAGCAGTGGCAATGCCAGGCTGTTGGGCTCCCATCTGCCCTGCTGCAGAGGCCCTTCCCACACCTGCGCCCCAGCAGGGGTGATGGTGACCCAGGTGTGTGATGTCTCTGCGACAGGCAATGCTACCACCTCAGGTGCCCTCTCCCCCATCTGGACCCCTCATGCTGGACAAAGCCGTCTGTCCAGTGGACCAAGGCCCAGAGCCCTCCTGCCCACACCATGCCTGGGACCATGTGGCCCCTGTTAAGGCTTCAGATGGCCACAGCCTTGGCTGACAGCTTGGTGACCACTCATGAGAGACCCAGAGCCACCTGTGTTGGCTCTGCAAGACTCTGAGCCCCAGATCCTGCAATTGGAAGTATTTGCCTTTTACACTATTAGGAAATTTGTTGTGCAGGAGGGGATAAGCCATGCATGGTCTTGAGAGTGATGGCTCCAAAATAACTGCATCCCATGCCTACTGTTAGGCAGAGAGGTGTGGTCCTCTAGGCCTCACCTTCTTTCCTGCCACCGAAGAAGCCTGGTGTGCTGCCTCCCACCCCTCTGGGTCCCTCTGGACTAGCTGTCATTCCCAACACATCTGCCTGTCCTCCTGCCTTGAGGCCCTGTCTGGACCTGAATCCCTGCATGCTTATTCTGAGCCCAGGAGATCTCCATGGGCCCAGGCCAAGGGAGCGGCTGTGATCTTAGAGACCGATTCACCACACATCACTGCAACCCTGAGAAGGTTTATGGCAAGCTGATACTGCCTGCTGGTTTTCCTGTGGTTTGGTCTGCGGAGTTTGGTCAAGTCCTTCTGCAGCTGAGCTTGGAGCCCGGGATAGCCCACATCCCTGGCCCACACCTGCACTGACATCTGACCTGCAGCAGCTGTGAGACGAGCAGTGGGTGCTGCTTCAGGCCACTGACTCTGCCATCATTTGTTATGCTGTGACAGATGACCCCAGCCCTGACCCTGATCCCGACCTATCAGAAGCTGTGGCCTCACCAGGAGCTGTGGAGGCAGTTGGGACACAGAGTAGGGTGCACACTGGCCTCAAGTTCCAGCATTCGGCCTGGAGTCCAGGTGAAGATGTGCAGTTGCCATAGCAGCCATGTCATGAGGCACACACCCGGGACCCCAGCTCCAGTCCCTGCTGCTCGACCTTCCCAACAGCACTGCCAGGCTCAGGTTCTACCCATTCTCTGTGGTTTCAGTCCACACCCGTGTGCCCAGCACATGCATGTACTCCCTGTGAGGTGGGGAGTGGATGCGTAGAGCTGAGAGTTTAGAACCTGGGGGTCCCTGTCCCTCCTGCAGGTTCACAGAGTGTGTGCAAGGGCTGGGTCTGAGAACTGCTGCTTCTAAACCTCAAGGAGGCGCCCAGAAAATCCCCTGGGTAACGGGAATGCAAAGGGGAGGCAGCCGAGAAGACAGGGCTCTCTCTGCCAACCTTCCTGTCCCTCTTTGGCTCACAGACTCCTCCTCTTTGCAGCTATGCTGGCGGGCCCCAGTGGGCAGACCGCAGGCTCGGTCTCGTGGTGCCATGGCAGACCTCCTTCAGGAACCAAAATGCCCAGGAAGTGAACCGGAGGAGCCGCCGGCAACCAGATGAGGTAATTACATTTTTTAAGAAATGGAAGTCACCGAACTGACTATAAACGTTAGAGGCGAGCGCCTATGAAAAGTTGGTACAAAACCTGTAATTGAAATGATTACAAGGTATAACAAGAAGACAAAGGAAGCGGAGTCAGGAATTAAGGGCATTAAACAAAGAGGCAAACGGCGAACCGTTTGCTTGCAAATGGCAGGGTTCAGAAGAGCTGTCTAAACAGTGGAGCCCTGGGAAACAATGCTGGATGTCTGCTGGGCAGAGGTGGTTGCTAGAATGTGCTTAGACTGGGGGAACCAGCAGCATCCGAGTAGAGGTGGGAAATGATCCTCTTGGACGCCCAGTGACCTGAAACAAGCAGGGACGCTGCAGGACACGCAGCCTCCTGTGACTGGGGGACGCGGCACAGGGACATCAGACAGCTGAAGTGCCCAGCCCCCTCTCCCTGAGTCAGTCCAGCTCCTTCTCCAGTCCCACCAAAGTTTTCTCTAGGCACCAGATGCAAACCCAGCCCTGCACTCAGAGAGTGCTGAACCAGGTCCTGTCCTGGCACTGTGGCTGGGTTGCTGCCCCTGGTGGACCCTGGCTTCCTTCGGCAGATGCTGTGGTTCAGTTTCGTTGTCTCTGCCCCATGAAGCCTGGAATCTGAGGGCGTTTCTGCTCTTGGGATCCCCATGGGGAATTTCTACTCTAACTCCAGGACCCGAAACCTCAGCCTGGACATGCTTGGAGGAAAACACTTTCTCCTTGCAAATTACATACCTCGGTCTCCAGCCTAAGACACATTAGGTAACAGTCTCCTCAGCATAGCTGCCTGGAGGTCTTTAATTTGCTGTTTTACACATGTTTGTAGGATACTGCTTGGCTTCTGCCATCGTCCCTCCCATCAGGCCCCTGGGGGAGGTAGAGGGCAGCCACCAGGATGAGGTGCAGGCTGGCCTAGGTCACAAGGTTCTGCAGGGCGTGTACTGTCTTCAGACTCCGGACCCACTTGGAGTTGGTACCACGGCCTTGTGCCCACCATAAACACCCACTCCATGGTGTCCATGGGATCAGCCGCCCTGTAGGCTGGGATCAGCCACCTCCTGTGGCAGCTGAGGCGTCCAGTGGGAAGCCCTGCCCTGCACCCAGCCCACCCTGCACTTTGGGGTCCTGTTGGGGTTTGTAACAGTGGCCCTGCAGGTCACACCTTCAGCCTCCTCTTGCCTGGGCTTCAGGAATCTTAGGCTGGGTTCTGTGATGTAGCTCTGAGGGAAGCAGCGGGCATGGAGGCTCAAAGGCAGGGCTGAAGTCCATCTTTATGCTGACCTGCCTCCACCTGGCCCCGGGGAGTCCCAGGGAACCCTGGGGAGCTGTGGGAATGGCCTGAGCAGGGTGACTGGGCCAGGTTGATGTCTGCACCCATGCAGATGGCAGGGTCTGAGTTCCCACACATGTGCCTGTGATGCAGAGATCACAGCCAGGTGCACGGGGTGGGAAGTACACAGAGATGGGTGATGGGCCCACAGTGTCCCCTGCCCTGGTCTTGCTCTAGCCTGGATAGCAATGTTTTTGTGTCCCTCTTCCTATCTTTTCTTCGTCATGTTCCCTATATTATTTAACCCACCACCCCTGAAGGCCCTGAACAGTGGCTGTAAGTAGAGCTGTTTCACTTTGTTTTTGCTTCTGGGGACCCTCTCACTCCGAGGACTGAGGCCTGACTGGTCCAGTGCTCCCATTCTGCCTGTAGCTGTGGCCCAGTGCGGGCTTGATCCAGCCTGTGGGGTTTCTCAGCTCCCAGCCTTGTACCTCCCAGCTTCTGACATGGATGTGGGGTGCATGGATGTGTCAGGGTGAGCTGTGCCAGGGTGATGGGTGCTGCCTGAGAACCACCTAGAAGTGGGTGGGGAGCTGGGGCAGCTGCCCCAGGGTGGGGGCAGAGCAAGGCCATGCTGCTTCATGGCTGCAGGGCAGGACAGAAGCTCAGCTCCCCTGGTTCCCAGCCCTGCAGCACAATGACAAGAGTCCCCACCACCCATTCCCTAGGCTGAGTCATCTTGGAGGCCCAGGCTGGCACCAGTCCAGCATGTGCCACCTCATTCAGCCCAGGCTCCAGGTGGACTCCGAAGGCTGCCAGAGCCCACTGAGTCACTCTGGGGTGGGAAATGTCATGCTGCTTACTCCTGCTGGGCAGGGTCCAGCGGTCAGCTGCAAGCTGACCCTGCCCACATGCCCCTGAAGGGAAAGCAGTAAGCCCCCTGATCCACCATCAGGAAATGGGGACTGATCTTAAACCCCCACCTAGAGGAACGGAGGTGACAAGAGTGGAGAATTATGAGCCAGTGCCAAGCACATCTGCCATGAGGCTGCGTACTCAGTGCTCAGCAAGCCACACGCTGCCCCCAGCAGGGAGATTGCCTGGAACACAAGGGAGATAAACAGGGTCGAAAGCCCACTGATGTGAGTGAGATTCACACTGCCCAGAATCCAATGGGAAATCTCAAGTCACACGAGGACCAAACAAAACACAGCTTCAATGAGAAGAGGCAAGGAACAGAATGAGCAAGAAGATGCTTCCAGGGTTGGAATTATTCAAAAGGATGCAGTTTTTAAATTATCTGTGGGTTTATTAGCCTGTTTGCTGTTCACGATGGCAATCTTCATCATGGGGAGTCAGTTCACACACACAACACCGCGTTAATTCTTTTTACCATCCGACTCTCCTTTCCCCGCTTCCCTCCCTCTCTAGCTCTGTCTTATTTGCAGCTCTGTCTTATTTCTCATATAAGAGAAATCATGTTACGTTTGTGCTGGAGAGTCTGATTTATTTCACTTAACATTATGGTCTCAAGGCATCCATTTTCCTACAAGTAACTCAGGTTTATCCTTCATTATAGCTAGGTAGTATAGTTAGCTCCATTGTGTATAAATACCATATTTTTTCTATCCATTTATCTGTTGATGGGTATACAAGGTTCTTACAAATTTTGCTAATAGGAATGGTGCTGCTAAAAACATGAGTGTGCATGGATTCTTCTGTTACGATGTCTTTAACTCTTTTGAAGAGACACTTGAGAGGGGAATAGCTGGATCCAATGGAATTTCTATTTTTAGTTTTTTGAGGAATCTCCATGTTGATTTCTATAGTGGTTGTACTAGTTTATATTCCCACCAACAATATACAAATGTTCCCCCTTCCCTGCAGCTTGCCTGCATTTGTTGTTAGTTGATTTCTTGATGACAGCGAATCTTTCTGGAGTAAGGGAGAATCAGTGTTGTTTCAATTTGCATGTCTCTCAGGGCCTAAGATGTTGGAGATTTTTTTCCTGTATTTATTGCCCATGTGTACTTCTTATTTTGAGACCTATCATTTCAATTGCTTGGTTTTTGATTGGGTCTTTTATTTCTGGGGAGCTTAATTTTTTTTGAGTTTTTAAAATATATTTTAGGTATGAGTTCTCTGTTTGAAGACAATCTGCAAAAATGCTTTCTCATTCTGTAGGTTTTCTCTTCACTCTATTGGTTGTTTCTTTTGCTGTGCAAAAGCTTTGTAAATTTGATATAATCCATTTTTTATGCTGAATGTTATTTCTTATGTAGTTGGGTTTCTGTTAAAAGTTCTTACCTATGCCTGTTAGAGTTTTCTGGCACAATAGAAAAGCCAAAATTAAAAAAAGAAAAGAATGCATCTATTGAGGATTTGGAAAGGAGCACACAACCCTGTGCCCTTCGCAAGAGACAAATATGGCAGGAGGTTTTATGACCTCTGCCTGGTAGTGGCATTTGGGTGGGCATTGATGACATGTGAGGAACTGATTGGAATTTTATTTGTGTGAAAACACGGAAGGGAGTTGCAATTAGGGTTGAAGGAGAAGGAGGAAGTGATAAGCATTCCTGTGTTGGCCTTCTGCCATGTTAGACCACCGCCATAATTGTGCAGTAATTTAAACCGGGGAGAATCTCTTTTAGTGCATATGTCTTCAAGAGTTTTACCTTATTTTATCTTCCAACAGACGGTTTCTGTTTTGATATTCAGGTCTTTGATCAATTTTGATTTTAGTTCACAGAGCACGGTGTGAGATATGTGAAAGAGGCTACTGTTCCTGCACTGTATGTTTTTTGCCCTTGTCCAAGATCTTACGATTAAGATTGGATGTGCCTGGATCCTTTCCTTCTTTCCACATCCTCTATTTAGCTCCACTGATTCACCTGTCTGTCTTTGTGCCAGTACTTTGCTGCTTTTATTACTGTAGCTTTGTAACATAACTTGGATTCCAGGATTGTGATACTTTGTGTTTTGCTCTTGTCACCTAGGATTGTGTTTGCCTTTCTGGTTCTGATTCCATCCAAATTTTATGGCTGGTTTTTCTGTTTCTGTGAAGAATGCCATTGGTGTTTTGATTGGGGTTGCATTAAATCTATATATTGGTTTTGGAAGTGTGGTCATTTTGACAAAATTGGTTCTGATTACAGGAACGGGGATATCTTTCAATTTTCTGTGTCTTCTTCAATCTCTTTTCTTCTTAAAAAGAATATTGTGATTTCCATGTACAGGCCTTTTAATTCCTTGGTTGGATTAATAGCTAAGTACAGGTATTTAATTTTTCTTGAGGCTATTGTCAAGGATTCTTTTTTGGTGGGTTCATTGTTGTGTACATGAACACTCCTGATTTTTGTGTGTTGATTTTACATCCTGGTATATTATCAAATTTATCAGTTCTAGGAGTCCTTTAGTGAAATTTTTTGGTCTTGTATATAAAGGATCATGTCATTCATAAATAATAATAGTTTCACTTCTCTCTTTCCAACACACGTCTTTCTTATTTCTTTCTCTTGTCTAAAGTTTTGAGTACTATGTTGAATGGGAGTATTGGTAGTGGACACGCTTGTTTTGTTCCTAATTTTACAGGAAAAATTTTCAATCTCTCCCCACTTAATAAGATGTAGATCATAAGTTTGTCATAAATGGCTTTTATTAGATTGAGATAAGGTCTTTCTATGCCAATTTTTTTCAGGGTCCCTTTT